CAATTGGATGAAGGGGGATTTTGATAGGGTTTTTCTGATTGAAGAAAAAATTCAATGCATCACAACAGAAATCAAACGAGTTTGCAGCGTGGTTAAAGATGGAAAAATTAGAGAAAACTCTCCATATAGGAAATATAGTTAAGGTAACACCCCTTCCAAAAATAATTAGAGAAAACCCCCTTAGTTAATATTCTACCCATGTGATATTTTCATAATTCCAAAACTACGCTTGATTGTCTATTATACTGTTTTAAAACCCTAATCTTATTTTTCATTACACATTCCGCTTTCTCGTTTCCAGCTTTCTTCCTTCTCTGTTTTTTCTTCTTCTTTTTTTCTCTGTTTTCTCCGACAAATCTTCTCCCCGCCGCCGTCGCTGCCGGAAGATGGAGAAAGAAAGAAGAGGAAGCACTCTTCTTGCTCAATAGCTTGTTCCACCCCGTTGACGTGTGGATGAAGAAGTAGAGGAACATGCTGTTGAGAAAGAAGAGGAAGCACTCGTTGGAGGAGGACAATCAACGGAAATTGTTGATTAAGGTATTTGTTTTTTTGTTTTTTTTTGTTTTTTGTTTTTTATTTTTACTTTTTTTTTTTAGCGTTTGTTTTGTCATGTGTTTATAAATTGTTTATGGAGTGTCGAGTAATGGGTGACAAATACTTTGAATTGTTTCTTTTTTTGTGGACATTGAAATGTCAATATTTTTTTTGTATGAATTATTTATTTTATTTTTGTGAAGGATTAGTTGAATACTGTGGTGTGGCGGCGGTGTGGTGATGATGGGGAGGCAGATCTAGCGGGTATTTTGGTGAATCGGGCGGAGGACGGCACGTATAGAGAAATCTGCGCAGGCTGGAACCTTAATAGACTATGTATACATGTTCAATAGTTGATTAAGTTAATCGACTATGCTCTGGTAGTCGATTAAGGTTGATCGACTCCAATTTTTTTTTTTTTTTTGATTTTTTGTTTATTTATTCCAATTGTATAAATCAATTATAATATTTGTATATTTTTTGTTTTTGTAAAATATAGTTGATTTTGCATTTTCTTGCAGTTGTGATTTGTTATTTTTAGTAGCAGATTCTTAATTGACTATGCTTCATCTAGGGTTGTGCGTTGGTTGGTTTGGTTAAAAACCAGCCATAAAACCAACCCAACCCATCCAACCAACTTTGGTAAATATTGGGAACCGTTATTGACCCAATTTACATGGGTTGGGTGATGGTTGAAAACCAATTTCGTGGGTCGGTTGATGGTTTGGTTGATGGGTCATCCATCTAAATACTTTTAATTTTTTTTTTATATTTTATTAGTTGTCACAACATTATATCTTTTATAAATTAAATGTGACTAGTTCAACAATATTCAAATAAAAGATTCAAAATATTACGGGCATATGTATTGCAATTAAAGATAAATAGTTCAACAATTAGTAATCGTCCAAATATTTAGGCTATATGTCTTAAAATTAAAATAGTTCAAATTAGATAATTAGGTTAGATTTATTGTTTTTAGAATTTTGGTCAATATTAAAAAATTTAATAAATGTGATATAAAATAGAAATTTGAAATTAAAAATATTAAACATTTTAAATAAAATTAATAAATAATAAATTAATAAATAAAGTTGGTTGGCTGATATTACCCGACTAACCAACTTTTTAGCATATTTGAAACCATTATCGACCCAACTATACATGGGTTGGTTGACATTATCGACCCAACTTAAATGGGTCGGTTGATGGTTGATTAACCATCACAAAGTATGGGTCGAAAATGGGTTAGTTGGTGGTTAAAACCTATCTTTCTTCCTATATAATCTCTCATCTTTATCTTCCTCTCCATCTCGTGTCTCTCGCTTTTTTCTTCTTATTTTTTTTTTCTTTTCGATCAAACACCTTTTAGATTTTTTTTCCGATCAACTTCTTTCTTTCTCTATACCCTTTCTCGATTACATCTATTCGATTTTTTTCACTTTAGAATTTGAATTCTTTTGGATTATGTTGTAGGGAAGAAAAAAATGGGAGCTTTACATTATTAGATGATTTTTCGGTGAAAGAGTTAAAAGCGGACAACAAACATAAATCCTCTTTGCTTGCACAAAGTGAGTTTTTTTTTCTCGTTTTGTATTTATCTGTAGTGAGTTTATAATGTATGTTTGTATTTCTAATTGATTTTGGTTCAATAAATAGCAAAAAAAAAAAAAAATGAAACTGCAAAATCAAATTGCAGCATTAAACATAAACTGCAAATTGCAATTTTTGCATTAATAGAATATTTTTTATAATTTTATTGTTGTTTTTTGCATTTTTATGATATGTATGATATTCTTGTTTTGTATTTTTATTTTAATTATTTGCATTTAGATATTGCATATCATATTTTCATTTTATTGTTTGTAATTAGATGATGCTGATTTTTTTACTTGTTCGGTTTGCTGTTTGCATTTGACGAATTCATAGGTAGCTTGTTGTTTTAAATTTAATATGCAAGTTTTAATTATTAATTTGCTATTTGCATTTTACAGAGTCATAAGCGGACACGGCGGCTGCGGCAGTGGTGCGGCGTTCGTAGCGGTGGTGCGTTTTTTACAACCTAAGTTGTTACTGAACAACAAACAATTTCTAAACAGCAAACGACACGAAGGCAAATTGGGAAACAACAAATCGAACGAAAGAAAACGGAATGAAGGCAAACTGCAAACGACCTTGTAAATTGCAAACGCTCAGACACCCAAACCTATGGAAGGCTTCAGAATTTGTGGAGATTTTGGTTTTGAAGAAACAAGGAAGAAATCGATATCAAGAGATTTACAATTCTAATTTTCGGATTTACAGTATAACAGGGAGAAAAATAAGGGATTTGATTTTGATGATTTATTTTACCATATATTGATAGGGGTACTTTTGACAATTTATAAATAATAAAATCTGCTGGAAATTAGAGTTTATTAGATGAATTTTAACACATATAATCTTTTATAGGAGGACCTATAGCAAATTGCTCCTTACAGAAATAAGTATATCAAATAGATGTTTTATTTTCCAATGTTATTAATTTTGTTTCCTTTTTTTCTCTTTTCAAAACTATGTGACTTAGAATACTATTTCATAGGTTCAGTAGTTCAGTTTAACTTTTAGTTAAAATTGAACTCCATGGGATGTGTAAGTAATACTTTTTACATATGAAGGGTCTTTAAGTAATTAAATCAAATGGGGGACAGTATAATTTAATCTATGTGGATCGGTTAATGGTTGGAAATCAAACATTTGGTTCAGGAATAGGTTGGTTGACGGTTTATACCCACCACCTAGTTCACTTAAAAAAATTAAAATTTCGAGTAAAAATATGCACATTCTACGTAATGTCATTGCACGATCATCATTTATCAGTTCAAAATAATTAATAAAAAATACAAGTAGGAATTTCAAAGTAATTAAGAAAACACACCCTTAATTATATATTTTTTAATAAAATTTTAATAATATAGTTGGTTGACTGGTAATTATCGGTCAGCCAACTTTTGATAATACTAGAAACCACCAACCGACCAATTATATATGTATTGGTTGAAATTTTCGACTCAGTCCAATGGGTCCGTTAAAAAATTATTATCCGCCTAAAAATATTGTCGATAATGGGTCGGTTGGTGAATAAAAACCAATCCAGTCCCAGCCTATGATTAGATGGGTTAATGACAAAATTGCCCTTTTAGTTTTCATCTTGTCATCACAATAACATATTCAACTATTTTTTTAAATAATTAATATAAAATAAATACAAATAAAATTCGAAAAAACCAAAATAAAATCAAAAAGAAAAATCGAAAGAATTAAAAATAAAATAAATTTTTTCGAAAAATAATTTTTTTTCTAAAAAAATAACAAAATATTTTTCTAAAAGCAATCAAAGATTTTTGAAAAGTCAAAAAAATAATCGAATTTTTATAAAAAATAATAAAAAAATATTTTTTTGAAAAAAAATCGAAAGAAAAAAATTTCGGAAATAATTATTTTCTCGAAAAACAAATCGTCCTTTTTTTCGAAATATAAAACAAATATCGGAAAAATTAAAGAAAAGGAAATTTGAAAAAAAAATCATAAATAATAAAAAATATTTTTTTCGAAAATAGTTTTTTTATAAAAAAAAAATGAAAAATATGTTTTTCCGAAAAAAGTTAAAAAATAAATCCGAAAACTGAAGAAAAAAATTCGAAAAAATAAAAATAAAATATTTTTCGGAAAAATAACAAATAACAAAATAAATATTAAAAAGAAGAAGAAAAAACTATGTACAATAAGAAAGGGTATTCGGTCATTTTAAAATAACTGGGTTGATGTTAAGGAAACCAAACATTAAAACACTATTAAATAATGGATGAGATAAAAAAATTCAAAATATGATAACAAACATCTTATAAAATAAGAGGCATATTATTTTATTGGGACAATTATCTTATCTTGGCTAATTTTATCTTGACAACCAAACGAGGCCAATATGTATAAAATAATGAGAAAGATCTTTGCATTTTAGAAAAAAAAGTATAGAGTAAATTACGCCCCCCCCCCCCCCCCCAAAAAAAAA